AATATAAATAAGCTTGTTGATGGGCATTCAAAAGAAGAGATGGTGAGAAACTGGCAATCCAGGATGCCACGATCAATTAAAGAGGATATCCTCTAATTACATGGTTTTAATAGCTTTTTATAAATTGATGGCGATTGTACCTACTATGGAGTGAAGATAAGGCATAATTTTATGGCTTAATTCCAATGCGCCATGCATCCCATTGATAAGGAAACTGGTAGTTGAATTTTATTACGATAATATGAATAGACCTTACGTAACCATTAAATTTCGCATAGCTTTGCTTTCCCAAAAGGTATTCTCATCCCGGCTGAAGTGGACTGCCGTTTCGACCTCGGAAAAAATGGTCTTATTAGCAAATCCAGTGGTACTCGAATCGTGAAAATGAGGCGTATAATCTCGGCATAGTAACCATTAAGCCACACTGCCTTGAGTATCCTTGGATCAGAGGGCACTATACGATGCATCACCTGGGTCCGAGTTCTGCCGGGAGTGTTGATGTGGACTAGATAAAAACTGTAGTCCAGTCAAGCTTTGATAAAGATACCTTTTGGGAATCAATGATAAGTGAGATTTAATCAAAACGAGATGCCTAATTATAATATTAAGGAATAAATTCGACTATTAGTCTTTCATCACTTTAAGCGACCTAGAAGGAATGGAACTTTTATTTAATAAAAATAGGATTGCGAAATAATGAAAGAAAAAAAAGACAATATAATTACAGGCATTCAAGGTAACAAAAACTTGACTCCAAGTCAACTTTCGCTGCATTGTGGCCAGATCCTCTTCATCCCTCTCTTCTGCTTCAGTATCCATGGCAAGCGAGGCGTCAAATTGCGGATCTAACCGATCCGAATTGCGGCCAGTCTGGCCCAATCGGGACGACATTGTTACACAGCTATTGCTAACATTTGTGGAAGATAGAAGACTAGTTTCTGAGAGACAGGCTAGCCGGCGCCGAAGTAGAGCCTCAGCCGGACAAAGGACGGGTGGCATGGCACGGGGTAGGCGATCATCGCCAGTCTGGCTCTTGCGCAACACCAGTTGCCAGAGGCACATTGGGGCTGTTGATAAATGCGACAAAAGACGGCGGTGTCGAGTGCGAGCACGATGGAAGCCTTAACAACAGAAAAAGAAGGGATAGCAGACGAGATAAAGTGAAGACGTAGATAGGGAATCATTCATTGCTATTCAAGAACACAGAATGGTAGCAGCAATTGAAATAAGCTGACTAAGAAAGTAGAAGATAAGCAAAATAACCTCAGAGTTTAATGGCTTGAGATTTTGGCACATTATCGTTCTTAACCTGCCAAAAGAGATATCATAAGTAAATTCCCCATATAAACGGAATTCATGAAGGCGCCAAAATTTCGCCTGAAAAGGATTGCGAATTAGGTATTTTGCAATGATAAGAGTCACCCAACTTAAGATAAAAGACTTTATTGTCAAAAAAAGTAATAAGGATGTAGATTAAGCAAAATTAAGAGGAAATATTTTTACAAGTCTGAACGATAAATCTAAGCTGTATTCATAGCGGCAGATTATAAGACCCTAAGCCATAGTTGTATCGGGAGAAAAATCTCAGACTTCTACACCAGATACAAGATAGCTTTAAAAGAGTGATTCATTATAAAACAAATATTGCTTAAATAATAATCCAAGTGGTGAAATAGAAACAAATTTCTGATGAATGAATGTCTCTACTAATTAAGCAATTAAATCACTTTAATGACGTATCTAGTTTGATTGCAAATATACAAAAGCCTAAGAGACAAAATTGTAATACATATATATAGTATAGGAGGGCCATACTATTCTTCGAAAGTTATGCTCTATGAATCAAATATGGTTGCCTTTGAACCTACAGAGTCGTTATCTAAAGCTTACTGGTAAGTTGATAAAAATCAAGGAAGGTGAAAACTATGGTCAAGTCATGAAAAAAATAAGAGCTGTATTCACTCTAGGTCATATCAGGTAATGAAAGACTAATAGGCGAATATTCCAAAAATGATATAAGTAGATCTAATGATTCCAATTAATTTAATTTAGCGTTGACTCCCATAAGGTATTCTTATCAAGGGCGCACTGTTCTTATGTAAGAATTACTGGTAGTTTCGAAACCTACCCTTTCTAAATATAAGTAATGTGGTCGATTGTAATATCAAATAGAAGTTTGTGTAATCGACAATCCCACCATAACATTTGATGTGAAAGATGTCTGGCTAGCCTTAAAATTCACATCTGCCTTGTCATCCATTGGAAACAGTGGCAATGTGGCATATTAGTAACATGTGTAAATTATATCCGGATTC